CACGAGCCGTAGTTAAGTGAGACGCCGCAGGGAAGCAAAAGTGGAAGAGGGATTGGAAAGTGGAAAGTGTGTGTAGAACGTGGAAAGTAGGAAGTGAGATTTTAAGTGGAAAGTAGGTGTGTACTCTCTAAATTTGAATAAGCGAAATTTCACTGTTTCACAGCGATAAGTATACAACTGATTCCAAAAAGCGTATATACGCTAATTAATTAGTGAAATTTCACTGATTTTTTAGCTAAATTTCACTAATTCGCAGCGTATATACGCTAATTGGAATCAGTTGTATACTTATCGCTGTTTCAGATTTAGAGAGTAAAGTGGAAGGTGGGAAGTAAGTGTGGGAGTGGAAAATGAGAGTGGAAGGTGAAAAAGGATAATGGGGAGTAAGAGTGGAAAGTAGAAGGTGGGATCGAATCGATTTAAATAGTCTTTGTTTTATTAAAAGATGTAATTTTGTTGTTGACCAAAATAATTTGTAGTAAAAAAAGATGTAGAACAGTGTTTGTTTTAGCTGGACTTTATTTAAAGAATTTCAATTTTCAACCTTTCGTCTTTCCATGAAAGACCTCTTCAGGTTATATCAAATCGACCTGAGTAAGAAACGGTAATGATTGTTTCATCTTGCAAGTTTCTTTTTTCTCTGCTATAGTACTGCAATTCTTTGTTTTATATTAAAGGGGAATAATTTCTCAAGATATCCCTCCATGAAAACCTGAGCATATTCAATTGTTTCTAATTGTTTTAAAGTTAACAAATTTATTCTTTCCTTAAAAAATGAACGCTTATTTTCTTACTCCGTTACTGCACATGTCTTAAATCAGTTAAAATTAATATAATACGACTTCTAGATAAACAGTAGGGCATAAAATAATTTATATAACCTGTTATAAACAATATTAGTTCACAAATAGTTATCTTTGATTCCTCTTCATCAAAAAATTTCGTTGTTTTATATTTATATTTTACTTTAAGTTTATTTAATGAATATATCTCCTTTTTGTTAGAAAAGTAGCTTATTTAAATTGTTATAAACAATATTATTTTACGTCGAAACAAGAAACCTTTTTAAATATCCATAATATGTTTCTCGTTTTAAATTAGTTTCAGGAATTAATCTAATTTAGGATGAGGATAAGTCAATAAGCCTACTAAATGTTGTGAGAGAATATTTTATTTATTTTATTAAAATTCTTACTTCAGGAATAAGGATTATTGCTAGTAAGTAAACTGGTGATAGTGAGTGAGGTTGCTTTTCAAACTAATACTTTCTAGATGAGGTACACTGGTTGATTTCCAAAAAGATACTAACTAGTACTTTACTTGACACTGTACTCTCCTTACTAAAACGATGTGCTTAGGTTTATTTATAAAATAATACTCTCTAGTACTAAACGATATGTTCAAGTTGAATTCCAAAAAAATACTCTCTGCTCTAACGAAGATGCTTTCCTTTTTTATATCAAAATTTCTTATTAATCTGATGCTTCTTGAATCATACACGTGTAGATTATGCTACATTGTGAGCGATGACGCTTGGTCTTCCAGTGCGAGCTGGCGCCCGTAACGCCGATTTTTTATAGGATTTTCGTAAATCCCCTGGATTTCTAGTGGAATCGTTGGGCCTGTTTATATTGTTTTGTAGGCCACTTGGCGTTGTTTTGTTTTTTCTTACTGCTCTGTAACCTAGTTTATAGAACGTTTCCAAAATGATGCGTACTCGTTATTTTTTATATTACTTTTCTTTCTTGGATTTGATGCTTTCCATTTCCTTCGTGTGACCAAGCTTGTAGAAGGTCGTCGAATTGATGCACCATCGTTATTCTTTTTACATTATTAAAATATTACTTTCCTATTTCACATTTGTTATATTTTTTTGTAGTCGGAAGTGGAAAATCTGTGAATGTGAGGATGACCGCTCTTATTCTGGTCGACCCACTAAAAACCACTCCCGTCTTAACCAGTACAGTTCTTCAACCCACGGAACTACCTATTGGCTTCGAACTTCGTGGGTTGAAGGTCCCATTGTGTCGCCGAAGCGATCCTTCCGTGCTGTTTTTCTTCCGCACTCTTTATTTTTGGTCTTTGAGAGTCTTTTTGGTCTCCCCAAGGGCCGACCTAAAGACTCTGTATCCACCAGTGCCTGCGACATGGTTGATGTCAACTTTGTCGTCGCACTTTTCTTTGCATAAGAAGCAGGTTGGGCTTTTTTTGCAAGACATAGACTTAAGACCGGCCTCACCACACCTAAAGCAAGCAGCCGATCTGTCTACCGCCTTACAACCTCTTCCTATGTGGCCGTATCCTAGGCACATATTGTACCTAATGACCATACATCTCTTCCTGATTAGGCAAGACATAAAGCCTACCTTTATGCGTCTTAGCTTTTCAGCTTCTTCTAAGTTCGTGACTACAACAGCGAGCTTTAAGTCACGCTTGTTAGGCCCTAGGACCGTCACTTTTCTATCAGCTGATGGTGCTCCCAAAATCTGCACTAGTGCTTCCTGGACTTTGTCAATAACGGAAAGACAGTCCAGATCACGAATCTCCAGTGTGACCTTTCGATCCGCTACCTGCACCATACCAAGGTCACCTACAATCCTTGTAACCTCCTCGGTGAAATTCTCCATATCTTGTGATCCTTCTATTTTTATAAGAAGTTCACCTTTATTTGTGGGTCTTGCTCTCACCACTAATTCCGTTTGACACCTTGACAATCATTGTTGATTGTCGCGGTAGCCTTGATAGGTATTCGACGCTTTATCGACATTACCTGCAGCCGGTTTGAAAGATTTCACCTCCTCCTTTTTCTTTTGTCCAATTCCCTTTACAGGACTGCTTAATTTTCTTTTCTGTGAGGCAATAGCAACGTTTCTCAATGCTATTGCATTGAATCTATCCCTTCTGCGTCTTCGGTCCTGTCAGGCCTTCTTTGACCAGACCAAACCCTGATAGAAACCTTCATCCTTCCTTCTCGCTTCATCGTGATTTTCTCTTACGTTCTGAATGAACGATTTTAGACCTTTCAGTCCATCCTTTATGATCAAGTTGACGTTTTCTGCACCTCGCAGGTCTTCAGCATCTTAATAACCTCTTCTGCAATCATATCAATGCACTCTACTTTTTCCTCTCGCAGCTGAATGCATTTGTCTCTATCCTCATTGAAGCTTGCGATGTCAAGAGCAGATGCGTTGCTAAAATCAGAAACGCAACTGGCCTGGCTCGCTACACTGCTCTCAGTTCCTCTTCTATCAACTATTTCCAAGACTATTCTTTGTACTACCAATTACCAAAGCGTTGTTGCCCTTCTGCATTCCTGGGCAGAACATATCAAATACAATAATAATATAAATATATAAGTAAAATACAATATATTGAAAGGAAATACGCACGTAAATATTATAGAAAATATATAGGTAGTTAAATTAAGTACATTAAGAAGAAGTTACGGAACACTTTTGCTAAACAGAGTAAATTGATTAGTTTTAAAATGAAAAAGTTATTAAGATTTTTGAAAAAATATGTAGTCAAGGTGACCCATTTTTGAAATTCAAAGGACATTACTGTTAAAAAATAAAATAACATTTTTAGCTTTACGAAAAATTTATCCTTTATTGTTTACAACTTATAAAGGGTTACAAATACAAAAAAAAGTAATACGTTATTGTTCCAAGAAAGTAAACGCGTAACAATTCAAACAAACTTAATGAAATAATAAACAAAATTTGTAGGATTCAATATTATTTTTCTATCATTTTTGGAAAAATGTGTGTGTGTTAATTTTTAATTACATATTTATTTAAAAAGAATTTGTCAAATTTATATTATACATGGTGGTCCAATCTTGACAAAAAGTATCATTGGTGAATTGAGGGGCTCTATAAAATAAGAGGACGAACGCGAGGCTTGGAATGGATATTACCAGTCGGGTAGCAGTCACAAGCCCTGAGCCGCTAACTGCTACCTGAATGTTATTATCCCTTTCAACCACGCGTTCGTCCCTTTATTCTATGGAGCCCCTTAATTGTTCTAATAAAAAAGAGATATGTTTTGGGATTCGATTTTTCACTTTGTTTTTTTATAATCATGAATTCCACAATACTTCTGCATGTTTGCCTTGACGATTCCATGTTTTTTTAGAGTTCCATACCCGGTAGGAACCCTATTAACCTTAGAAGGAGTAACTGAATTTTCTCACCCTCTAAGGAGTAACTGGGGTGTTCAGACACTCCACGCTTTAAACTTGTTTTATAAGGTTTCTATTTGACGTAAAAAAGTTTTGTGTAGTGAATTTGATTTCTTTTTTAGTAAGGAAAGCAATGGTTTTATTCATTTTTTGATAAATTAATTTTTTTTTAAATAATGGCTAAGTTTTGAAAGCGAATAAATCATTTTTTAAGTTAAAGGCGTATTTTGAATATTGCGTGCGGTGTCCAGACACCCCAGTTACTCCTTCTAGGGTTAAAACGGTTACGGAAAATGACCATGTACCCTCCCTAGTGCTCACAAATTTTCATCTAGAGAGCTGGAAATTGGTATACTTATGTATTTTTACGCGTAGATTACAGGAAAAATATAGCGAAAGTGATTAGAATTGATCTTCATGGTGTTTTCATCGAAACAGTAAAATCTCCTTTTGCAAGCTCGAAAATACTTCAACCCTTGCTGGATTCAATAAAATGGTTAAAGCAACAAATTGTTGCATAATATTTTCAAGCGAAAAGGTACTTTACCTATTGCAAAGTTTACACAGCTATAAACAGTTGGATATATTAAAAGATATAATAGAGCTATCTGACCTGTTGTGAATTAAAAATGACAAATGCGTTTGTTTATCAAAAATATGGAGACGCTGGGAGCCTTAATTTTTTTTACTGGGCATATATGAAATGAACTGAGTTTGGAAGAATCTATTTTGAAACCTCGGCATAATATTCTGTACTATAAATATATAAATAGAAAATCTTTATGTTGCTATTAGAGAAAATTTTTCTTTATTCCAGTCGACAGAGCTTACGCCATTGCGGGAACTTTTTGAACTTCTACAAATAAAGTCAGAGCTTTTCGAACCGAATCAACAAAATAGTTCAAATAATTCTGATCCAGACCTTGTACCTACTCCTCAACCCTCAGATGAACAAGAAAGTTCGAGTTATGAGTCACAATATGATGACAGGTTAGTATTATAAATTATATCTTTATTATATTGTAGAGAAGTGTATGAATATCTTAAGGACATTCTGAGGATATCCTAATTGATTTATGTATTATTGGTATTAAGGGGAAGTGACACCTTTGCAACATAATTTCTACCTGTTTTTCATGAATTTTTTTTACATAGAAGGAATAAAGTAAACAGGAATCGGTTTAAATGCATTAATTTATTGTACTTTTAACTTGTAAAATTTGTTTTTGATATAATATTACACTTCGTATTATCTCATATAGAGGGAGCAACAGGTGACCTTCACATTCTCGAGTAGCAAATCGGCGTGCAAGATTTCTGCTGAACGGTTTTTGCTAGAACCAAAATCGAAATATTTTCTTAATATGGGATGCATGTAGCAGTCAAGTACGTAAGATTTTTTTTATTTCAATTTTTGAGGACTTGGCACCATATTTTGTGGAAAAATTTGACCCTAAAATCTTGATTTTTTTGTTCAATGTGGTGTCAAATCCACAAAAATTAAAATAAAAAAAGTCCTACGTACTTGCACGCCGATTTGTTTTTCGAGAACGTGAAGGTCACCTGTTGCTCCCTCTACATGAGATTATACGAAGTGTAATATTACAACAAAAACAAATTTTACAAGTTAAAAATACAATGTGTAACAATCTTAAATTATTATTTTATAATTAATTGAATAATAGACAAGTTAAATAAATAAATCCGCACGTGAAACCTACAATTTAGAAAAAATCTATTCCTAAAAATCTTTATAATCTTGAGATATTTATGATAATGTAATGTTTACACACACACATGGAATGTCATTTTTGAAAACGTGATTTTTGAATTCCAGAGGTCTAATAACTTATCTAGGTAATCAACTCAGTATTGACAAGAAAATCTGACAAGTGACTGCTTTAAAATGTAACGCGGTGCTTTTGAAGTCACTGATCAGTAAATCTGTCCAGTGATTGGCAAGTAACTGGACAGTTTTCTACTTAAAATCTAGAATAAAATATGATTTTTCCTGGCTTTTGTTATTTTATTTATAATTATATATTTATTTATATTTTTGTGTTTATTCAAATATTTAATGCTAATGAACAATTACTCTACCAATAAATAACACTTAAATTCAAGAATGAAAAATTCGCACGCATGTTTCTAGTAGTTTGGGGGCTCCATATAAGAGCCCCATAGTTTGATCTCGATTATCAGTTGCGAAACATGTTATAAACAATTTCCAAAGCTTAAAAAACGTGGTTTTTCGATTACCGTTGCTTCTGGTTATATTTTAGATGAAAAAGTTGTGTTTGAAAGATGTAGAGCATGAAAATAGTTTTCAAATGACGGGTCTTAAATTAAAAAAGGTTAATTGACAGATTTTTATTTCTATTTTATTGACACTTTGACTCCCACTATGTCAGATTTTCACTTTGACATTTATATTTTCACATCCACTTTTACTTTGACACATTTCTACTTTTACTTTGATAGACTTTTATTTTCATTTTATTCACACTTTTACTTTCACTATAAGAGATTTTCATTTTCAATACTAAAACACATTATTTTCACTGTTATTTGCATTCTTTGTCTTATAGTCCAGGATCCCGTATACATTTTTCCTATCGATTACTAACAAGCTAATTTTTTGTGAGTAGCTTCATTTTGATGAAACGCCTAACTTTTTTCCTTACAAAAACTCTCAATTGTGGTAGCTAACAGGAGTAGGAGGGATTATGTGGTAGGTTATGTCGGTCCTAAGCTCAGAAATTGTTAATACACTGTTATGGTCGACACTATTATTCTATACTACATGCATGTGTATAAACAATGCGCTTCTGCTTGAGTTCTGTTTTGTTATTATTATTTTTTTCTTCCTTTCTTGACAAGCACAATGTACTGTAGGACCGTAGGACCGACATAACCTACCACGTAATTTGTAGGACAATGTGACTTTTAAATTATATCAATATTAAGGAATGAACATTTAAAAAATCAGCTGGTTAGTAATCATTTTTAATGACCTCATTATCAATACATATTGGAAGGGGGGACTCTTTCATCAAACTATAACATTTGAAGGACAACAAATTTTTTTAATAATTCTCCTAATTTGCCTAAGATTTAATAAAAATACTGACAGTTAGTAATAAATTTTTGAGACTTATCAAATCAACATATTTTATCCCTCCTACCCCTGTTATGGAGAGTTTTTGTAAGGATAAAAGTTACTACTCACAAAAAATTAGCTTGTTAGTAATCAATGGGAAAAATATACACGTGATCCTGGACTATTAACTTTAATATGATTATTTTTCCTTTTAAGTACTCTTTGACTTTTTTTATTGTCATTTACTCTTTAATTCGGATAGATTTTTATTTTCACTTTCATTTTAAGGGGGACAACATTAGATGGCTGAAAAATCAATTTTTCTTTTTTTGCATAAATCGTTAGTTTCGCTTTCGAACAAAATTTTAAAAAAATTAGAGTAGCTTAAAAATAATAAAAATTTCATTTTTTAAAATTTTTATTATAATTTAAATTGTGATTAAAATAATTTTTTATGGATGTAGTTGATTATTTTTTTGTTTTTTAAGCCACTCTAATTATTTAAAATAACAAAAATAATTTGTTTAAACAATTTTGAAATTAGATATAAGGAAGATCATTTCATACTTAGATATCCTTACAATTTCTTAATATAAATGTTTTGGAAATCATGGCAAAATGTCAATTAGTATCATCATTCTATTAAAAGTTAAAAATATTGATAATTTGTTTCAATAATTATAAAAGTTCTAATTTGCAGGTCCCATTTTTGAGTTTAGTTCATTTAAATAGGAAAAATTTCATAATTAAAAAAAAATCGAAATTTTAATTTTTTTAAAATAAAATTTAACAAAAAACAAAATTAATTTGTTTAAACAATTCTTAAATATTTACACAATACTCTTTATTTTTGTATTTAATTATACTTAATTATTTCTTGTGTAAACTGTTGAAAAATGTAAAAAAATGAGAATTTTGTTGGTTAACGTTAAAAAAATTTATAATTAACAATACAAAACTGTTTAAACAATTTAAAAATTTATGAAATTAATGCTGAATGTTTATATGTTAATTACCCATTTAATTTCGGGTAAAAAACTCGAAGAAATATACAACAAATTAAATTTTTCAATTATGTTCTTTTTTCCAAGAGTTAATTGATTAATATATTGTTTATTTAACCACTTGAGCGGCAGTGCGTCAGAATTGGCGTCAGCGTGCAAGTGACAGAAGCGGCAAAAATGCGTAAAAGGCGTCAAAATTTGACTAGGGGAGAGTGGGGCAAAATGGGGTAGGCGGGTCAAATGGGGCACCTCTGTTTTTCCATGATAGGTACTTTTAATTTTTTTATCCTCGACATATATCATTCATGTTGATAAGAAACTGTTATTAATTATGAAGACATTCCAAAGAAAATTTTTTTTTGAAAGTTATACAACTTTTAAGTTTTAAGCAAAAAAAATATGAATTTTTTTCAAAATTAAAGTACTTACCAAACTTTTTGTGATAATGCATTTAGTTTGGCAAGTGTGGGATCTTTTTCAGTACTTATTCTAGAGTAATTTCCAATAGAATAGATTGTTTAATTGTTTACAATAACTTGTAAACATTGCATTTTGTTTTAATATGCAGTGTGGGGCAGAATGGGGTACCTAAGTGTAGGGCATGCCGGAAGCTACGCCGTTTCACTAAAACTATTTAAAAACATTATATTATGCATATTTAAAGGTTTCCTGCAGAAAAATCGATATTTTTGCTTCGAGGCATTTATACTATTGATGTTTCATTATCAATATATCGATATTTTGCAATATCCATGTTTTTTTTGTTAAATTCTAATAAATATTACTTGTTTTTTCATAATAATGAAGAATCCTAGTTTGTGTTTGTATTTATAATCTCATACAACAAGAATTTAATGAATTTTGAAAAAATATTCAATGTTTTGTATAGTTATTTGATGCCACCCCATTTTGCCCCACGGGTGGGGCAAAATGGGATTTTAGCACTTTCTCAGAAAATACGATATAAGTTCTTTCAAAAATTTTTTTCTCCGCTATTATCATAATTCCCTCAAAGCTAAGTGTACAAAGAAGAATTCTGAAGTTTAGCTGAATCGATTTATTCGTTTGGTTCTCTGTAAACAGACAATTTCAAAAAGGTACCCCATTTTGCCCCACTCTCCCCTACTATTTTCTCATTCTGTAAGGAGATTTATAATATCACAACAAAGTATTTTTCTTTTTTAAAGTAAATGAGCAGATCTTTAAACAAAAAAATGCTTTTTTAAATATATCGATTTCGTGAAGAAAAATTGGACTTTTTGTGGTAGAAATTGAAACGCCACTAATATCAAACTATTAAATATTGTTAGCTTTGATCCTTGAAAACTTATTTAAATATTTTAAAAAACATTTTTTTTGCTTACAGGTCTGTTCTTTCACTTTAAGAAAGAAAAATACTTTGTTGCGATATTATAAATCTCCTTACAGAATGAGAAAATAGTAGTCAAATTTTGACGCCTTTTTCGCATTTTTGCCGCTTCTGTCACTTGCACGCTGACGCCAATTCTGACGCCCTGCCGCTCAAGTGGTTAATAGAAGTGTAATTATAAAGCATTCTTTACCTCAGAAATACTCAAAAATGATTTCTAATGTACTTAAAATTTTTTTGAATTTTAAAAACTTTATTTCATAGCAACATATCGATTTCTTCATACTTTGTTATAAACAAATAAATATAAATAAACAAATAATAATTAATTGTGGATGGAAATTTTGTTTGGATCGTTGAAGGGCGAAAGCTTGAGTTTATTCAGCTGGGAGTATAATTAATTATGGATTTATAATAAACAAAATTTACAACATAACTAATAAATAAACAAAGATTAAAAAATTGTGACCTCTAGACTGATTTTGACACAAAAAGTACATTTGGCCCCACTGTGCGC